GTTCATGCTTAAGTAATTTGTTATTGTTGTTTTGGAGATGGACATGTAAATTCATGAGAATTAAGTGGTCTGTATTTAATTGTCATTCGTTTAAATCATGCAGGAATTAACCTCATTCCTTCTAAGGAGTGGTTTCATTTTTCAAAGCCCGAGTGCTTTAGGGGGGATCCAAGTAAAGTCTGCTACTTAGGGTAGAAGAAGTTACAAGAAAATGAAATTGAATTATCTTACTTTTCTGATTGATTGCACCTTTTAGCCTATGATCAGACCTGTTCAACTATATTTGTGTTGTTGTTGCTTCCCGGAGTGTACTGCTATTTTTGAGGGGTTTTGCGCCGCATCTAAAGTGTTATTTGGTGTTTTTAGGGGTGTCGTAAGGTGTTGGAAAATACTTAAAGTGTTGTTTGATCTTTCAAACTGCTGTTTGAGTTTGTAGCAGGCCATAAAAATACTGTTTGATCTTTCAAATTGTAGTTTGGGTTCGTAGGAAGCCACCTAGGAGCTGTCCACCCCGGTTTGGGTTCGTAGGAAGCCACCTAGGAGCTGTCCACCACGATTTGGGTTCGTTTGGAAGCCATCTAGTTGCTGCCCACCTCTGTTCGGATTCGTAGGAAGCCGCATAGGTGTTACCCATTACTGTTTGGGTTCATAGGAACTCATATAGGCGCTATTCGAAATTCCTAGCTGTTGTCCGGAGTCGTAGGATCACCGTACACATTTGTTAGTTGTTTAACGGAGTCGTAGAAGATTGTAGGATCACTATATTAGCTCGCTAGTTGCAGTAATAAGTTATAGGAGACCTTAGGATTTGGAATTTCTAGCTGTTACTACAACTTGTTCTACTGTTTACTGTTTTCTTTTCTCTGCAATTTACTTAAATTCTCTGTAAATTATATTGTGCTTTGTGAGTTAAACATGCAACAGGAATTGCAGCAACAGATACGTCACGTACGCAAGTACATTTTATTTGTTGTTGCTTCTTTATTGCAATTACTCTTACTCAAACACATTATGCAGCTACTGAATACGATCTCACTATAAAAATAAAACAATTTTTTAAAATTAAACAATTTTTTCAAAATTAAAAAAAAACAAAGCATAACATGTTCTTTCGAACTTACGGGAGTCCCTCAAAGAAGGTAACCCACAGTTGCTAACGAGATCTCCCCGGTTTAAATGGGTTTCAGAACTCGTTTAAAACTAAGTTCAAAAGAAAATAGTGATACCGGAACGAGGGAACCGTGGAATCCTAACCGGTGTCGCTCTAATCAACTTGAACCCCCCCAATGACAATCAAACTGAGACATTGAAACACACATGGTAAAACTGTTTGAGCTTTAGACTTTAGGACTGTTACTACGACGAAGAACTTGGAGCAACTTTGTGGGCAGCACGGCAAGGAGTTTGGAGCGAACTACAGGTGGAGGTGATCGTCATTCTACAACAGCAGAATGAGTCTACACCAACTAAACTTTCCTCCCATAAGACTTCGAGGTAGTTTGCCCAGCGCGACGTAAATTCTCACATCTTCTTTAGGCTTTTGTACAACCATATTGTATAGCGTAAGTCCTAACTCGTCTTAGGTTTCGAGGTTGTCATCTAGAATGACGTAAAACCTCTTATCTTTGCGGACTATTTGCATAACAAGTTATTATGCAAATGTAAGTCCGAAATAATAAAATTGACAGGATTCAACATTCAAATAAAATCCTCTCTAAAATACAGTCACACAGTAAGATAGTTTGGGAGGTCATTGAGGATTCCCCTCAGAATTTGTGACATCCCCCATTTTTTACTTTCTTTGAACTCCTGAAAGGATTGTTCTTACTTGAGTCATTCCCACTTGTTTTTCCACGTCCTACCTTGAAAACATGAACTTTGAATTCTTGAATACTAGAGCTATTGATCATTATCGAGAGTTTTCTCAAGTGATTCCCGTCACTTGGGATGTAATTAACTATAGGGGTTTGCCTCTATAGGGAACTTGGAACTCAGGTTAAATAAACCATATTTAAATTTTGTATTAAATAGGGGAATTTGTCGGTCACATATAAAAGGTTCGCATACCAAATACCAAATGAATGTCACAAACCTCGTAAGTTTGCATGATTGGGTCCACCGCCGCAGGGTACACTTATCTTTCTAGAAGGTGTATCATTTGTGGTACCGGCACGATTATATAAATTTATTGGGCAAATGAGATCCAATCGGTCTCATTTTTCAAAATTAAAATACACTATTTTCATAAAATTATATACCTTTTAGGTTAAATTAAATCATCTACTTTTCAAAACTATAAATGAAATCATCAACGAAAAGTTGACCAACACTTGCTCGTGTAGTCTCCTTCCCGAATAGGTTAGAAACGCTCCAAAAAAGCAATCCTTAAACTCCTCCCATGAGTGCATCAGATATCTTGCCTCCATCCCTTAAACTACGCTAAAATTTTCCCCTCCGAGCATAATCCTGTTGTCATGAGCTTCTACTCCTTAGTTAACACATTGGTTACGAATTATCGCTTCACCCGAAACACCCACCCATGTGCATCCTCCCCTTCTAAGATTGGCACCTTCAATTTTCTGACTCTTGTAACTCCACCCCAACCTCCTCTTCCTCCAGTATTTCCCCCCATGTATTTAGGGGGAACTCCTTCCATTGGTCATATGCACACCCAACTCCTGATTCCCTCCTTCCTTCATCGTACACTTACGTGCCTCTTACACGATCACTCCAATTTTTGGCCCATCCTCCATCGAGAATCTCAACTCCCCCTCCACTTGGAGTCCTAGAGGGATGCTCTTGTTGGTAGATGATGTCTTTCTCGTCGTCTTCTCGTTCGATCTCCTTCTATTTTGACCTGACCAAAGATTCCTTGACAAACCCTTGGTTAGGATTTACAACTGGCGCAATCGGCACGGCCTTAGATTGCATCTCCATGAGTTTTTTCATCATCTTCGGCATTTCTCCCATGCTCTCAAATCCATCCTCCATTCAACTTTCAATTGAAGAAAATATGTTCTCCATGTTTATGATCCTCTCTTCCATTCCCGGTCTGATTTGCCCTACTTCTCTTTCTAGCACATCCACTTTCTTCGCTACCATCCAACCAAGTTCTAGGCTCTGATACCAATTTAATATGCTCCGGAACCAAAAATTAGCAAGCAACAACGACGAAACGGCAATAGATAGATGGAAACAACTCAAATAAGGGCTGCCCTTAAGAAATACAAATGAAAACAAGCAGATACAAAGATGATCTACCTTTCGAGAGGTAGATCGGCTCTCCCACAAGTCTAGACGTCACTAGTAACACCATAAGAAGAAGAAAACATAGGGCGCTGTAAAAACATGCATAAAGAAAAACAAACCCTGGGTTATTCCGCTTAATAGAATCCTTCGTCATCATTTAAAACTTTCTTCCAAACTTTCTCTCAAAACTCCTTTAATTTCTCCTGCTTGAGCAGGTGATTAAGGCCCTCGTGAACCACACCTGCTCCCTGCCTTCTTCGGCCCGACAAACTGCCGCCCCGCTCCTTGCGGAAAACATCGGCCCGCCTATTGTTGTCGTGAGCCGGTTGGGCGGCACTTGATCGGTCCCTCCTAAATCAGTTCACCTACAGGTGTAACATTGAAATAGAAAAATTTTTATCAAACCATAAAATTTGTGTTCTCAGTCATTTGATCTCTTGTCATTGCTTTGTGGCGGTTCATCATATTCGCTTTTGGTTAGCGCTTCTCTATAAAAGTTAGGTTCTTTTCATAAAACTAGTAATAGAAAGAGGGTCGATGAGGAAAATGAAAGCTAGAAATTAGGAAGGGTTGATGACTCCCAACGTGTTGGGATTTGAAAAACCAATAAAGCATTCATGTGACATTTTAATATACTTTAGATTATGAGCAAACAAAATAAGGTGAAGATAGATGAAAGTTCTCTTGAAAATCTAGCCATGCTTAGCAGACGAGAATTTGAAGAAAACAACCACAAAAGGTGTGTAGCTTACGCTGAAGCCTTTGTTCGAGACAAAAAGACAAAATAAATTTTATCAAAAACAGATTTTACTTGTTTCACATGTATAAAGGTGCATCCAATAAAACACATATGAATGAGTTCACCTATATTATTTGATGATTGAAAATATTGATGTGATTACTACTTATGAGTATCAAGTTCCATTGTTATTGTTCCATTCACCTTTCTTTTACAAAGGTTTCCGCAACACCATAACACCATATTTATAATCAACAAAAAGATCTTAAAAATTAGCTTCTATCAAGATATGCAATTTTCATACTTGAGGGACTATACTAGAAGGTAACAAACCAAGTAATCATTGCATTAACAAGCCTTGTGACATATTAAAATACATTATTTGAGTCAATTGCAAGAAAAAAGAGCATATTAAAAGAAATTATCGTGCATTGAAAAAGAAAAGAACAAAAATGACAACCATAATGAGAAAAATACATTATATGTATTGCCAATTAGTTTGGTTCAAATAATAATGATTCCTGGTTGGTAAATGTTGGAGGCAGTCGAAAAATTAGCGAATTTTGGATTCAATTTTTTCATACTATATTTGGCCCGATAAAGATCCTTCTTCGCCATCGTTTTAATGTAATTATAGCTAAATCTTTTGCAAGAACTTTGGACTGTTTCATGTTTGGCCAAAACTTTGTTCTATCCTGCACCTCAAGTATAACAAGCTCTGCTCAGACTACGAGCTATCTCTTCCACTTGTTTCAATATATTTAAGTAATCTCAATCTGCTTTGCTACACTACTACTGATAAATAATCCCATTCTTGAATTAACATGATCAGTTTATACATGATATCTAAGTTTCAAGCCACATCCTATATCTCACTTTTATCTCAATCAATTTTCTTCTTACTCATCCTTGACTGAGAATAACAACAATATTCAATTATTTTTTCTTATAACAAAGTAATTTTAGTAGAAAATGAAATAGTACTGAGATTGATAGCCTGAGAATGACTCACTGTTAGTGTGTTCCCATAAATTTTGTCAGTGATAGACTCTGGCGCAGGTTGTCCGCTGTTGTAATTAAACTGATAAAATAAGAGTATTAGCAATGATTGAAAAGAGAAAGAAGAAAATTGAAAATTTGGAAGAGTAGAAGTTTTTCGATCCTCTAAAGTTAAAATGTAGAAACCGCTTGCAAAGCAGCAAAATTTCAGTTATCAGAATCCTTTTGGTCGACAATGAGACCTAAAATCAATATATCACAGTAAACCTCATTTAGAGAGGACAAAGTTGAGCAGCAGGCGGGAAATCACCTTTATGCCCCAATCATAGTCTGGGCCACCAGGATTGTGGCTTGCGCTCATTATAAATCCTCCATTGGCCTGCCAGAACGTTAAATTAAAACTTAAAAACAAAGGGAAATTTACAAACTTATCACACAATTCTTATGAAATTACATGTTTCACACCTAAACTTTCATATTTACATACATAGCACATTGGTGCTTTAAACATATGAATGATAAGATGTATTTCACTTTTAAAAAGTAATAACAGTGCTATTTTTATGTGATATTAAAATTTTGTGTGCTGAATGTGCAAATACGAAAGCTTAGGTATAAAATATGTAAATGCATTAGAAATTTGTGCTATGTATGTAAATGCTCCAACAAAAAGAAACTTATAATTTCATTTACAGTATCAAGAATGCAGGGAATGATACCTTATGCTTTCGAATCACTGCAGAAACAGCTGGGGTTGATAAAATGCCATCCCTAGTTTAGTATAGAAACATTAGCCTTTCTTTTCAATTTAGGAAAAAAAAAATGTATAGCTGTCCTGCTGAGAAATGCAGAAAGAAAACACAACGTGCATGTGAAAATCACTGGTTGATGGTAAAGCTTTTAATTATTGTATAATTAATACAATGGAGAATCAAAGAATGTAATACAAAATAAAACCAACAAACATAAACTTCCTCATAAACTTTTTTTAAGCATAGAAACATCCAACGAAGCTAACCGGAGATATCATCTTTTAAAATAGCAGCACTAATTTGATGTCAGTATATGAATGGGAATGGCAGTATAATGAAATTGGTGATTATGATGAAAAGTTCAGAACATGTTTGGATATAGACTATAGAGAGGTAAGTATTGGTGGATGGTAAAGGATGTATTACTTAGAGGTCATTTGGAATCATTTTTCTGTTTTTTTTTATTTTTTGTTGGTTCGTCTTGTTTTGTTTGTAAGAGTGGATACCATGGTTGATAAAATCTAGGAGGAGCAAATGTGGCTGATGAATTGGTGGATGCAGGCAGTGAGATTGGGAGGCTTGGTGGAACCTAGAGCCGTAGCAAAAAACTCAGGGCTTTCTGGCACCATTGGACTTAGAGAGTGTTGTGGTATACAGAAAATAGAAGAACGATCTTTGACGAAGCAAAAAAAAAAAAAAATAGAACGAAAAAATTCACTCCAAAAAATAGTAACATAGCGGAACACATAGATTTACGTGGTTCGGCGAATTCCCTACGTCCGCGAAGTTGTACAGGATTTTACTACTTGAGGAATTTACACCATTCGATCGTCTAGACTTACAAGAGGGATCTTTCACTTCCTTGTTCTCTCTTCTTCTCTCTCTACATCGAGATACACCGAAGAAGATAAACTTACAAGAGAAATAAACTCAATTTTTTTTCTGCCACAAGCCACCAAGAAGAAGCCAAGGGAGAACAATCTTCTTCTTCTTTCTTCTTCCTCTACCGCAAGCCAAAGCCAAAAACGCCGAAGAAGAAGCATTGGAGAGTGATACTTGCGATTCCTCCTCTCGTTCGAACCACACAAGCAAAAGCAGTTGATCAAAGGCAAGGAAGATATTTTTCTGTTCGCGACTTATAACAAGCGAAGAGGAGTTTCGCTTCGCGGAAACAGGGAAGGCGGGAGCAGGCGTAGGCAGGAACAGTAATATTGCATTTTTTTTTTTTTTGGTTAAACTGGGCTCCACTTAACAGAGAGGAAGCAAAAAGGCATCTTCTTCACTGCCTATATGTTTTGGAGATTCAAAAGAACTGACATGGAAGATCAAGAGACTTCCTAGATGGCGAGAAAGATGAGAGATTCTGCTTAGTCAAAGGAGGATATCGGGAAAGACATCGAGCGGACTGGTAGGACTGAAAAACATGTTTAAAAATGATAAAAAAAAATAGATTTTAATTGTTTTTTGTGTTTTTAAGAAAATAAATATAGATATAATTGGAACGAGGATAATATAAAAACTAACAAAAATATTTATTTTATTTGTTAAAAACAAAAATTAAAAACATAAAACAAAAATGTATACCGATCAAACCCTTAGATTCCAAGAACCTATGCAATATTATTAGTCTTATATAAAATAATGGGATGTCTGCACGAAAAATAACTTTGCACGGCATAAACGATACTCTCACACAATGCGAATTCCTAGTAAAAATATCATAACTAGATAAACCTTATATTTATCCATGTAATATGCATAAAAGAGATGGTCAAATACTTTGGATAGACTAGTAATACTTTTACAAAAAGAGAAAGTGATGTATTCGAAGTATGGTGGTTTAGTCTTATTCACATTACACCTAATGACAAACGGTTCGGGCAATAGTATATAAAGAGATATTGACTTGAGATTATGAAAATGAATTTGAAGAAATAAATATTAACTTATATATTTTTTAGTTCTGATGAGCATTGGAAATCATTAGCGAATTACAACCTCTTTCGTTTTGTGTGGTTGATTCCATTATGGCAAAGGTGCTCCAAATTAAATTAATTTCAAGATATAGAAAATTTGTTGAATCACTACTTCGTTGGGATAAAGTCCTGTGAAGAAAGACTCACTAGCCAAGGAACCCACTTATAACATTTCCATCATTCCCAAAGATCTTCACCAATTTTTTCAACTATGCTAAGGTTCAACCATCAGATAAAAAAATAGTGATATAAATAAATACATATATAGATAAATACATCCCCTCCCTCTAATCTCTTGCTCTAGCATATTATATATATATATATATATAATATGCTAGATACTGAGAAAGTGAAAAATAATGAAATATAGCTAGAGCAAGAGATTAGAGATCCAAAGATTTTGCTCAGTTTAGTCGTATTTCAAGCGTAGATAATTGGATCATGGTTAAAATTGAAGGCATGTAACAATTTTATTGGCATCATTAAAAAGGAGTTTGCTGAAAAAATTTCTTGAAGAGAATAATTAGGACCATAGATTGACCCAAATAAGAACTGTTTAGCTTTGAGTTGAAGAAGATGCATAGAAGAGAAACTCCATGTCCATATGAGAAATTAATGGAAATTAGAAAAAAATGATTGACGGAATTGTTTGGTAGAAGAATTTTTTTAATGAAATCCTGAAGATTAAAAGGAAGTCAAATAAATGAGGAAGTAGTTTGTTAAAATATTTAGGAACAAAAGAGGAATCCGATATTATGATATTTATAAGATAATCAAAGCTAAATATGACAATATATTATCATAAAAGCATTTGTATGAGATGATTTCCCATTTTTAGGACTCTGTGTGATTTGATTTATGTTATTCTTATTTAGGTCTTTTTATTTTGTTGTTCTATTTTGCAGTACCCTTATGCATCTTGATCCAAACTTTTCACAGGAGTTAATAGATTCTTCAAAAATTTTACAGCGTTTTTTAAGCACTTCATAAATTAATCCCCTCCACTAATCTCCTTACCAACAAAAACTTCTAATGATGCTGTCCATCTAAAATCCAACCAAAAAAAAAAACTTTAAAAATAATTGATGTTGATGAAATCCCTCAATGACATAACTCTATCACCACTGATATCAGAAGCTAACTAATTCCACAATGCATAGATTCTTTCATGCCATCAATCTAAAAAAGGAAGTTCAGAATTTTTCTTAGATAAAGCATTAAGCTTATGTTCTTGGCTTGCATACTCTAAATGTGATCCATCAAGGCAAAATTAAGAGATAAGCATTCTATCTTCTACCACCTTTCCCTTACAAATTGAAAATAATATTGATTACCTTTCTTGGTCCATGGTGACTTCCAACAATGAAATAGCAATTTAAAGCAAGCTTATTTGACAAGAAAAACAGCGCCCCAGGCATTACGAATAAAGAAATATAGTATACAAATAATTACGGGATACCATGTATCTTTTGCCATTTTCACAATGTGGAGTCAAAGGAGAAATTGTCATGCAGCAAGAAGGCACTCCACATATTGCTTTCTATTTTGATTTCCTTAGAAATATTTTGAAGTAGCTAGAGAATAGAGTTCTCCCTCCCTGCAAAGGTTCTTGGATGCCGAGAATCTTGCTACCTGAACGACAGAATGGGAAGGAAAGAACTACTGTTGTGAAATCCACTCCGTCAAGAATCCTTTCAAGAAATTCCAAGAACACCTGAAAGAAAACCTTCTAGGGAACTCTCTGTGTATTGAGTTAGATGATTAAGAACTTAATAATATTATCTAAATCTTTCCAGCAAGAATAGGATCCAAGAACTTCTTTCTTGTTGGAAAGAACCTTACTGCACTGCTTGTTAAGAACTCCTTGTCGTTCACTTAGCTAGGCCTGCGGTTCACCTGGATCCCTGTAGCTAGAGAATAGAGTTCTCCCTCCCTGCAAACGACTACTATAGTCTGCGGTTCTTGGATGTAGAAAGAAAATGGAGTAACAACAGTATCCAAGCAAAAGGGAAAAAAATATAGAAAGGAAATGCCACAGAAAACAAACACGAGAACACAAGGGATTACGTGATTCGGTCCTTAGACCTACATCCAAGAGGGAATCACTACCAAAATTCACTAGCACAAAAGAAGAATTACAGACTCATTACATCGAGAAATCACAAAGTCTCTCTAGATCTCTATCTCTACAAGACCTCTCCCTCAATTCTAAAGCCTCTCCTCTCTTTCTTCCTCTCCTTGCTGAATTTTCTTCCTCCTTTTGATCTTCTTGATCATATTTTTCTATCTCCTTATGGTGGTCTATCCATCCCACAAGACTCCTCATCTATTTATAGATAGATGAGGTCGCCCAAGAGGCATGATAATTACAAGTGCGTCATTTGTCATAATTAAGAGTCATGACATATAGCAATTCTCCACCTTGACTCTTAATTACGACACTCTTGAGATTCCCTCCAAATAGCCCCCATGGGGCCCTTAGCGCCCAGTGAAGTTTACTAAGTCCAGACAATATTTGAACTTAGCAGTCGGTAAAACCTTCGTCAACATGTCGGCGGGATTATCTTCAGTATGAACCTTTTCCACAACTATAGAACCCTTGGCTACAAAATCTCTCACAAAGTGGAGATTGTGCTCTGGTTATCGCAGAACACAGTTACAACTTTCTGACATACACCAAGTTCTTCAGCCATGCCCTTTAGCCACATAGCTTCTTTAATAGCTTCTGTCATAGCAATATATTCAACCTCTGTTGTTGAGAGAGTCACCACGGATTGAAGGTTGGACTTCCAACTGACTGCAGTGCCGAAGACGATGAAGATGAATCTGATTAGTGACTTCATGGTGTCAATGCTTCCCGCATAATCAAAATCCACATAGCCGACGATCTTTTCATCTTTGTCCTCCTGCCGTTTAAAGAGCAAACCCAAATCAGTGGTACCTTTTAGGTATCGCAAGATCCACTTTAGAGCTTCCCAGTGGGTCTGTCCTGGATTTGCCATGAATCTGCTGACAATACTGACGGCGTAGGCCAAGTCTGGTC